GTTTAAATTTTACACGAAGAAAATCCTTACATAATATTTAACAGGTCCAAAACAGCACAACCCTGTGTGAATGCAGAGAACACATATATATTATGACATATATATTATGGTGTTAGACAGAGTAAAATTATAATAAAATAGGTCGCATCTGGGGGCATTGCCACTTAACGGGTTAACAGGGTGCATAGGCAGATAATCTGATTAACCCATTGAGTGACCGCAAGTCCATTGACTTCCCCCTGATGAGAAAAATCTGGCGTAGAGTAAAATAATAAAGTAGGGCACATCTGGGTGTATTGCCACTTAAAGGGTTACTGTAACAACAAATGGTTTAAAATAAAATTTATGTGAAATTCAAAATATAAATTTATTAAAAATGTCAAAGCGTAGCAGTGATATAAAATGAATCGCAAGTTCTTGATTCGTCAACAAACAATTGATCAAGTTCAAAATATTAAAAGTTAAGCAAGAAAGTTTTAGGTCAGTGCTTTTTGGGTATTTTCATTTTCTGCTTTTGTTTTTGAATGGTAGACACGTTTGCAATTATTTTACAAAAAAGCCACCATTTTGCTTTTTCAAATCATTAATTGCACTCCTGGGGAGTGCACTTGACATGCCATTCCAAACTGCAAACCATTGGTTCTCTTGGAATTGTTATGGTTTATTTTCTATGAGATCAACGTGAACTAGCAGTGAGAACTAGCAATGACAGTAGCTTGGACTAATAGGTGTGAAAATGATGGAGCAATAAGCTGCCACCGTAGGTATACTTCCACACCAGAGCTGGATTTTTATCGTAGCACTCATATCAATTGCTGTAGTTCAAAACAAGGATGTCATGGATCACTGTGGACAACGAAGGTAGTTTTTTGCCATAGCATAAATTGGTATTATTAGATTTGTAAATTAATTTTGAAAACTTTCTTTATTCAATTTGTAAAATATTGCAGAACAAATATTGGAATCCTGATGTGAAAACTATATGAAATTTATATTGTGAAGGAATGTTGATGTAAATGATTTTTCTTTCTGTAGATGTTTTTACTTCCTTCAAGCAAACATTTCCCGGTTTATGCCATATGCATAGAGGATGAAGGAACATAAAAATAAAATTTGAAAATAGTAACCGTCCAGCCTGCCATAACCATCTCTTCGCCTAAACAAGTATTTTTTATGGGTCTGGCCCATTAAGCCCAGCTCAAATGAGAATAATAGTTCATGAAAGTTGAGAAGTGAGATTTGTATGAGAGTTTCACCTCTCATGCCTCACTCAGCCTGTGACCTGGTGTGAGAGTTGACTGGGTACTACCAGCCAAAAATGCAAAAACTCTCGTCAAAATTTTAACCAACTCGAAGTTGATGATATTGAGACTTGAGAGTCGTCAAACATGATTTTTTAACTCTCACAACTATCTTTAATATTTCACAACGAAAAAGCAATCATAGTAATATATAATGCAATGAACGAAATATTAACTTGACCTGTAGTAACAGTTTAATTAAAAGGGTTAATATTACAAATACAAATCGGCCATGCTTCGTTTAGCATAGTCGACAAAGCTCGCTTTCTTACCTACACTGTCTTTAACAACAGATTATATTTCTTCACCGTTTTTGTAATTTTACACTGTTCTTCGATCTTGTTTCTTCTCAAAATCCTTGCGAATATACACGACAGGAATGTGGAAATAATATCAGTATTGGTCTGGATGGTTCTGGCACAGAATAAAGACACAATCGTTCCGAAATAGTCTCTATTTTGTGGTTCTGGTATTGTTTTATAACCGTGGTTTGACAGGAATACAGGATATTGCAGTTGAACTCATAGACTGCTCCGCAGGCCTCTCTATGGGTTTTAGCCTGCGAATGGGTTTCTGCGTAGGAGAAAGAGGTTGGGGGGGGGGGG